ATCTGGACCGTCCGTGCACGATTTAATCTGGGTCGCTCGTGCACGATGCAATCTGGGCCGTCCGTGCGCGTTTTTGATCTGGGTCGTCAATGTGCGCGGGAACGGATCTCAGCTGTTCGATCGCACACATGTGGATCGCCCACGTGTTACATTTTTTGTTGATTTTTCTTCAAAAGTTTAGATTTCTACGAAAGATATTTAATGTTGCGAATATTTTCGTACGATTCGTTATTTATTAATGTGATTGTGTGTGTTACTATACACACTGATATTAAAAAATTAGTTAATTAATTATTTTACGAATTATATGTTTAAATATTCCGTATGCTTTTAAAATCGATTCAGTAGACCCTCAACACAGCTATTAGTTAACATGTCACGCTATCTTAGTCAAAACATTTGTTCCCCACCACATGGCACATGGACGCCCGTGTTAGCAACATTTAGGTAAACAACTATCACCATAGCAGTCGTGTGGTAATTTCTAATTTTAAACTTTATAAAAAAAAATTAAATATCGAACACGTAATATTAAAATATTATTAACTCGAATGTCTTTTTTATAAAAATAATAATAAATAAATAAATAAATATTTAAAGTGAAATTCATCGAAGGTTGACTTAGAAGATAAGCTTCAAATTTCCAAAACCCCCACTTTTTGCATAATTTTTTTTAATCAATTATTTAATAGTTAAAGAATGTAGATTAAAATTGGTAATTAATTAATTAATTAATTAAAGATAATTAATTTCCAATTTGTAAAGGAAACGTAGGGTTTGACTTGGAGAAGACACTTCATTCTATCACGTAATAATCTTGGAATAAATTTACTACTTAATCAATTAATTAATTAATTAACAAAACATTTGATAGGATGATGCAAGGTTTCATTTCCCCTTTACGTCATGCGTACGTCAATATGTCGTCATTCTTTCGTAAACTCTCACTCTCGTTTTCGATTAAAATATATATATATATATATATTTCATGACAAAGTCAATATTAATATTTGTTTATTTGAAAGAATATATATGTTATAATACTTCAATTATATTATAAAGTTAATTAATTTAGATTAAGGAATACTTAAAAATCAATACAATATATATATATATATATATGTATGTATGTATGTATGTATGTATGTATGTATGTATGTATGTATATGGGACATGAGAATCATATGAGATTATATTGTCAAAGCCTCCGATATTCCCTATTGAAGACAATAAATGAATTGTTCGTGCACAAAGTATTGTGTTTTGTATTGTGAGAAACCCCCACGTGATCCTCTTCCAAGCATAAGACTATCAATTTGGTCCATTAATTTATTCATAATTATAATCATAACCCGAAAAAATATTATTATAAGACTATCAAAATAAAATAAACTAAACTCCGGCGGCGGTGTTTATCGTGCTGCAACCAATCTCTCATGTTATGTTATCGAGAACTTATTAGAGATGAAGATGATGCTTGTTGAAGAAATTTTAGTAGGAAAATTGATAGATGTTTTGTTCTTCATATTGAATTTTGGGGAGCCTTCGGTGGTTTTCAGCTCATTTGGAATGTCGGGTTCCTCACTAAGGAAGATTACAGTATTAATGCGCATACCGCATTCGTTCGTGCGATCAAGCACTTGTTACTGCAGAATTGACAGGTTCAGATTCAACATGTTTATCGCGAAGGGAATAAATGTGCTTATTGGTTAGCGAATGATGGTTTTTCTCCACCGGTGGGCCTCTATTCTCATGTTCAAATGACGAATAATTTCCAAACGGCTGCCCACGGAATTAGGCTGCTTCCCTTTTCGTCTTTTTTAGTTGTATGACCAAATGGGGCCTAATATATATACACATAAATATATATCATACCTTTGAAAGCTGGAGAACCAGAATTGAAGTTGGCTACTTCATTATTTCCTTTCCTTTTGTTAAATATTATTTGAGGAATTGAAGAAGGCTACAGCCAATAGTAGTTAGAAACCAGATGGGCTTAATATAGTATATAATATATATATATATATATATTCATGTATTAATCTCTGTAAAGTACAAAACCTTGTGCTGGGGGAGTGATTCATCCCCTGTTTTTAATACAACAATCTACTTCACATTTTTAGCAGGACAAGTGTGTTCATAGTTTTGACTTGGACTGAAACTTTGAATTTGGGTCAGAGTAGATTACATTCAGTTTTGTTTTTAGTTCGATTTTTAGTTCTGAACATCACAAACTGTCTATCAAATTAAGGGAGAGAGATACAGTATTATACAATTCTATTACAATTAATTACAACATCTCAGTTTCTAGCCTTAATTTCCTGAATCCAGAGCTAAATTCAACAGAGGCAGCTCCTGTCATCATTTCCACCAGTTGAATCCTAATTTATGGAACCTGGATGATAAAGGGCAACTGACTACTCGATTAAGCTGCAACAATCCGTCCAAATCTTTGATGGTAACCTTAGAATCAGAAAACCCAGATAAATGCAAACCTCCGACCAAGTTTCTAACCAGAGAAAGATCCATTCTTGATTTAATCTTCGTTGGCATCTCCAAGAGCTGCCTCTTTCAAGTACTTGTCAGCCAACTGAACTCTCTTTACATTCTCTTGCTCTTGGACAAGCATGCTTCCATACTCGGTAAGTTTTTCGAGTGTCATCTTTGGCTGCTCGAAGGTTGGAGGTCCTTCCTTTGAGTTCACTAGTCTCTTTCCGATTTTCTCCACTCCTACTTCCGCTATCCATTTTCTCACTTCGTCATCGTATACTCTTGCTCGAACAGCACCGAAGAAATCTGCAACCATGAGTATAAATAACTGATTGAATCGTTTTCTATTAATTTTTAAGCTTTTGAAACAATAGTTTAATCAAAGATGAAATCATGTTTTAAATCCAAGTCTAGTGTTTTAGAATGTTACCAATTGACTGGCCAGGGAAAGTATCTACTAGCTTCACAATGTCTTCCTTAAGCACGTTGTCTGTCCGGAAAATGCCGGTACACACGCCAATTCTGTCTTCCCGAGTAGGAGCCCAGTAGAATTTTTCCATCCGGCCATCACGGATGAGAGGAGCGTATAATGTAGAGAAATCATTGCCGGTAACGATGATAGGCACACGAGGATTCTCCTGCTTGTTGTACATACCAGGAAGCTGGACGTTAGTGGGATTATCAGCAATGTTCATGAGTGTAGCATTCACCATCTGATTGTTGACTGTGTATTGTGTAGTTCCACCGAGTCGACCAGCTCCTGCATCAAGATCATTGATGAAGAGGCAACACATTTTTCCTTTGCTGATAATATCTGCAGCCTCACGGTATCTTTGCCTGATCAATTTTGCAGGCTCTCCAGCATTCCCACTTTCCAATTCACCAGCACTCATCATGATCGGGCTGATCAAATCAAAAAATTTCATAAGCTTACACCCAACCATTCATTTCTCTCTTCCAACATGGAAAAAACAAAAAACAAGTAATGCTAACTCACTTGATTCCCAACTTAGCAAACACAAGCTCGCACTGGAATGATTTCCCTTGTCCTTTGCCTCCCCAGATACCCAGAATTAGAGGGACCTGTCAAATTCATCGTAATAGATTGAATCATTTCCTATTACATTAATTTTTTTTAAAACAATTAATTTAAGAAGGTGAATTGAGTAAGCTGTGTGAGCAAACCTTGATGTTTGGTAGGGTCATGAAGTTCTTTGTGATGTGAACAACAACCTTGTCCATGAATGCAGGAGCAATGTAGAAGCCGTCCATGCTGTTGTCCATGTACCTGGAAAATTATCCGATAATCGGAATTAATTAAACAAGATACCGATGGATTAACCTACACAAATCTAGATCCCGAAAGAAAAAATTGATTCTAATACCAGCTTACTTGATCGATACAGCAAAAATTCTGAAAAATTAGCGGCTACTTACTGTCGAAGACCTTGACTGATGTAGTCGTAGGAAGTCATGACAGCATAATGAGTTCCGGAATCTTGAGGAGCTTGGAAGAGAGTGTCCACCATTCCTTTTCCTCTGGTGATGTCCTGTTGATCATCCGATATATCAGTAGCAAGTCCTGCCCACCTATCCTTCGACGTCTGCTTCTCTTCATCGTAATCTGATGCCAACACCTTGAACTTCTTCGAACAAATCTTCTGGTGGCTGAATTTTGAGTTCACCTTCTTCGAGCTGTTGCCGAAAAAAGCAGAGGTTGGTACTGAAGCTCCAGAAACGACGCCGTTCAGTTTCACCTGCACCAAGAAATCACAATTTCCATTTTCTCAGCCGAACCAAGAGCAAAAACTTCATTTACGACCACTTAGTACAAAGAAATCAAAGACATACAGAAAATCAAAACAATGAAACGCAAGCCGTCAGGAGTACACACGATTGTTATAAAAAAACTGGCATGGCGTGTATAGAAATAAACAGTAAAGGAGCTGTAAAACACAGTACCACAGGTCCAAGCGTGGAGACAGCAGAAGCAGCAGCAGCCGCCATGATCAGAGCAACGTGATAACGAGGAAGAAGACGACGAAATGAAACTGAGTCAGTTGCAGAGAGAGGACGGGCATTTGAATTTATAGAGCGAAAGAGATGGGGAGCGGCGAGGCGAAAATCCTGCGGATTGGGTTCTGAAATCTGTTAAACAATGCCCACACAATTTTTGATGCAACTAAAACGATGTCGTTTTGGGGATTTTGTTCAAATGGTTTCAAACAAAATGGAGGCTTCTCGGAACTCTCTGATTGGTTCTGAGGCCGGGGTTTAAGCTCCCCTCTTCTCCACTAAAAAATTAGATATTTATTTATTTATTTTATAATTTTATTATTTATAAATTATATTTTTTAAATTTTAAAATTTGTATATATTATTTATTTATTTAATATATATTAATATAAATTTTATTTAATTTTAAGATAATGGAAAAAAAAAAAAAAGCAGTTGCAAAAACCGAAAAGATGAGAAAATCAAGAGGCTTTTTGTTTTATTCAAACCCATCATTGTCTATCAGCCACGTGGTAAAGAGTGAGCCAATAAAAAAAGGACACCTGTGGGCCCCACCTTTCTAAGACACGTGTCACGCGTTCAAGGTCATTTCATTGTCATACATAAATATATATATATGTGTATATATATATATATATATATCTGTAAGTGACTTTCCAGATAATTCTTTTAAATTATCCAAACGAATTTTTATTGGCTGAAATAAAATTACGAGTCACTGTCAATGGCTAAACGGGGCAAGTTTTGACCTGTTCGCAAACGGAAAACCGGACTGAACCGGATCCGAACCAGACCGAATTTGAGTAATGTTGGGTCCGGTTTTTTTATTTAAGTTCGTGGTTGAATAAATTTTAGAATAAATAATTAACGTACGACAACGACACTGATTTTGGATTATAACGATACATAATAAAAATGATAAAAAAATTTATATAATAAAATATTATATTTATATTTTCAATTAAATTACTAATTTATCTATATTTTATTATATGTAATAGTAAATGATATATAAGAAGTATGTAATGATAAAAAAATAAACAAAATATATTATTTGAGTTTATTATGATAGTGTTATTATTAAGATATGATGTTTCCGATGTTGGTATAAAGTATTTAGAAATTTTTCTAAACAATTGGTATGTAGTATTTGTTTATTTCTCGATGTCTTGTAAGTAGCATTTTGACAATAAGAAATCATCTTATGAATTGATCAAAAAATAATTTGAGTTCAAATTTAAGTTATTTTTTAATATACTATCATGTTTATGATCTATGTATATATATATATATATAAATAAATAAATTTGTTTATTATCACTAAATTATATATATATAAAATGAATATCAATTTTATTTTATTTTATTTTTTTTTTAAATGTAAGAGACAACTATAGGAGACGAGCTCCACCCAAATGGCGCTTCTCGTAAGTAAAAATGCAACTCAAACCTACCAGTATCTCAACAATGGCGGCCTCTGTCTTCTCTAAGTCGGCGAAGTACAGAGTCTGCAACAATGACACCGTGGGCTTCGCGTCCAACCTCTGTTGCTCCAAATACCTCTCGTTCTGCCACTTCAACGTGTCTTGCGCCATTGGTCCAAGCCACTTCAGCGTCGTCTCCACTGCCTCCCGACATCCTTCCGCCATGGCATGCCCGTCACTTTCCATCGCATCTCTGTACCATGATCGTCTCTTCATCTTCTCCTTAATTATCCATCTTACCCTATCTGTCAACATTCCGTATATGTGCCCGCGCCCCTCATTGCTTATCCTCAACGGGGAGTGCAAGAAACCTTGCGCCAGTACGATCGCGTTCGCGTACGGCGTTGCGAGCCCCGCGCCGCCGACCGTGGATGCTGGAGCTAAACGGAGCAGTCCTTTTCTGTAGTCGTTGGAAGTTGTTTTTTCGCAGCCTTGGATATTATGGCCTAACTCGACACATAATTCGCTGCTGTAGAACAGAGTGATTTTCCTCTCGGAAGTTTTGAGGATCGGACACGATCTCGCCTTGCGTCGATTAGTGTTTGCATTTATGTATTTGTTTTTGTCTGCGAGGAGGCAGTAGTCCGCGTCTGGCTCTGGTTGGATCCGGATGCCTAGTAATTTGTGGTGGGGAGTGGTGGATGATGAAGTGAGTTTTTTCGAACATAAAGCGGGCGCGAAAGGTCCGAATAGAACACAGATTTGAGCGTAGATGAGAGAGACGACTGGGAGCATGAGGCCGACGATCTTGTCGAAAGTGTGATTCCAGAGCGAAGCGTCTCTCCATCGGTGAACTTGTTTTTTCAGATTTGTGATTTTCTCATGGAACAATTCGTCATTCAAATTGTTAGCTCTGCTATAATATCTATGAAGAGTTAGACAATTGAGTTTATTACATTGGTAAAGCTTCTTCTCCCAAATCCCAATCTCGCGAAGAGATTCTTGAGAGCACTGCAAATTACAAGTTGCAACGACGTACTTGTCCATCCTCTCGATCATCTTCTGTGCATTTTTCGAGTTGTATTGAAGCTTCCGAAGAGTGAAATTCCCGCGTTTGATTTCGGCATAGATGGCATCAAAGCGTTTGAGATTTGGATCGGAGCATTTACGAGCGAGGTAGGAGATAATGGCGACGGCATAATCAAGTTCAGCAATCTTCTCAGAGCAAAAGAGAGAAAGCAGAGAAACTTCGTCTGTTGAGCTTAAGAGAGCGACTCCTCTGGATTTGAGAGGTCCTTTAAGAAACTTGAAAAATTCCTCCTCTGAGAGAGACCTGTAAAGGTGGAGAAGATGAGCCATGGCTTTTGCAGCTTCGTTTGAGAGAATGCCAAGAGTTGCAGGATGAGATTTTTCATAGAAGAAAAAGTTGAGAGCGGCAAACCATACAGGATGAAATTTTTCGAGGGAGAAAACCTTGAGAGCGGCAAACCAGGCCATGGATCGGAGAACAACAATCGGTATGAATGATTTTCGATGTTTTTGGGAGATCTTCTTCCCCTAACTGCAGTTTTTTTCCTTTTCTTTTTCAGTTTTTGCTGTTATGAATTTGATGGTGGTAGAGTTTTGGCAGACAAGTATATCAGAATAACCTCTGCATTCAGTTTATATCATTTTATATATATATATATATAATTAGAAACTATATACTCATAAAAATATTAATATATATAACCAATTACATATACCTGTTTATATACTTTAAAGTTTCTTTTCATAATTTCTAAAATAAATTACACATTGATTTATTGCATGAAATCTTAAAATACTTCGTGATTCTCTTTTTTTTTCTCTAAAGAAAATTATCTTAAAATCCGAAGAGCATAAATTTATCACCAATAATCTTTACAAGAACAATTTCCCTCGATAAAGTGATGAAACCGATTTCGATCCCGGACGACAATCTCAACGCAAAACTTACTAGAAACGTGCTTCATGAAACGATGACAATCATGACAAATCCGGAGATTGTTCATGATTCTTATCGTTCTTCTCTCCTTAAAGTAGAAAAGAGAAAAACCGACGGCCAGTTTTTCACTATGAAAGCCGAGATTATACTCCTTCTCTTCCTCTTCGATGTCGTGTAACACATTAGTTACGGAGGGAGTATACCCTGCAACTCTAAGACTGTCGATAGTCGAAACTATGAACTCTTTAACTGGCTTCAGTTCGTGATCCTGCGAATCATCTCCCGATACAAACTCATGAACAATCTCATCAACAATAAGCAAACTACACCCTGGTTTCTTGTTTATTCTCCTCTCCTTCATTGAATTTCTCACCCCTGCTTTCTCAAACCATCGACCAACTACGCCATACGCATTCGATAAGAGCACTTGATCGCCATCGTGATGAGGGTCTACCTCATTGATTCTTTCTTTAACTTTCTCGGCCGAGTCAAGACGGTTATAGTTCACACATGCTCCAAGCAGAGTCCTCCAAACAATTACATTTGGCCGAATAGGCATCCTCTCAACAAAATTTAATGCCTCCTGGATCAATCCTGCCCGGCCGAGAAGATCAACCATGCAACCATATTGTTCAAGCCTCGGCTCAATACCATACTCGAGCTTCATGCTTTTGAAAATTTCCAATCCCTCATCAATAAGACCACCATGACTACAAGCCACCAACACTGCATTAAACGTCATGTGATCAGGCCGGAAACCAGATTTTTTCATCTCATTAAACACTCTCAACGCTTCCCTGCTCTGCCCGTGAACTGCTAATCCATTAATCAAAGCTGTCCATGTGGCTATATTTCTCTCAGGCATTTCATCGAACACCTTTATCGAGTGATCTACGGACCCGCACCTCGAGAACATATCGATCAATGCAGTACCCAGAGAAACAGTGAGCTCAAATCCGTTTCTGAAAATGTAAACTTCGACCCACTTGCCCAATTCCAATGCCGCCAGGTTCGAAACCGCAGATATCACGCTAAGCATCATAACCTCGTCTGGCTTCACTTTCCCCAGAAGCTGCATTTCCTGAAAAAGTTCCAGAGCTTCTCTCCATAATCCATTGTTGACAAAACTCCCAGTCAGAATCGACCAAGTCACCAAGTCTCTCTCAAGCATTTCTTCGAACAGTTTCATTGCCGTACTGACATGGCCGCAACAACCGTAAAGATTAATCAAGGCGTTTTGTACGTGAACGTGGGAGTCAACCCCAAGTTTGAAAATTAGAGAGTGAAGCTCTTGACCCGTGCGCAGACGAGCACAGGACTTGAGAAGGGGAGGGAAAGTGAAATGATCGAAGGAAACGCCTGCACGGCGCATGCGGGAGAAGAGGGTGAGGGCGTGAACAGGGCAGGAAGAAGTCGAATGGATTCTGATGATTGTATTGTAAGCGAAGGTGTTTGGTTCATGAGAAAACTGAAGAAGATGACGACTCTCTAAGCCCGTTTTTATGAGGTAGGAATGGAGTTTTCTGTGCATTGTTCATTGCTCGTCCTTCGTGCAAACTAACTTTGCAGCAAGTTGGGAAAGTCGACTGGATTCATACAGACCCTCGTATATAATTATCATTAGATATAGAATAATTATATATGTATATATTTTGTGTTTATATTTACATATATGGAAGTCATATTATTTTTTTTACAAAACTTGCCATTATTTTAATTTTCAGAAGTAATTTTTAAGAAAAATACTAAACAATTCTTATTAATAAGTTATCCACACAAGAATTGATCCCTTGAGTTTTATATATGCATATATGTGTGTGTGTGTGTGTGTATATATATATATATATTTATATATAATTTAGTATGTATGCAGGCAATGATTAGAAAGAAACTGCAACATCTTGATATAAGAAACAATCTGTCTCCTTTTCGGAGCTTCAGCTTACAAAGTTTATCAAGACTTATTGAAAAAGAAAAAAGAAACAGATCGAAGCGTCTTGATCATAAGAAGCCTCGTTATTATAAGAAGCTTTTATTCTTAATTAAGTAAGTAATTAATTAGCAGAACCAGAAACACAAAGCCATTGACCCACAAACAGTTTGTCGCAGTCGAGATTAGGGTTGATTGCATCAAACGAGTCCTGAGTTAAATTGAACATCTGGGAAATCCCAAAGCATGTATCTCCACTCCTCGCACCAAACACTTGATCACATTCTGGGCTCTTATCAGTTGGCTTCAAGAACCCTCCAACTGCACCATTTCAACGACACAAAAACATATTTATATACACATTCTACATATATATATATATATATGTACGTATAAAACCAAGACTTACAGCTGAAGAGTCTGCTTTCAGCCATGGACGCAATGAGGATCAGAGACAACAAGAAGCTCAAGTTAAGAAGCATTGCAGTAGTCTTGTTGCTCATTCTAATCGCCATGTCGAAGCTGTTGCCTTTTAAGATTACTCTGTTTATCTTATATACATGTATAATTACATCCTTCAATCTCTTATATTTATAGTGAAATATGAAACGAGAATGAAGAGAATGACAAAACAATCAGCCAAGAAATCGTTGATATCTTTGTTTAATTTACAAGAAGCCGGCTGCTCCAGGCCCCCTTGCAGTAGCTTTTTTCTTTTACTTTGTTTGCATGGAATTTTACGTTTACATGGCGGAAGACTCTAAGCCAAGAAATTTCACGTATATCTGTGAGATATATATATATATATATCATATTATATTATATGTATAATATTAAATGAATTAATTAGGCAAAAAATGTATGGATGCTTTATATATAATATTATTTTATAAATGATGATATAATATTAAAATTTCTTAATAATTTAGTTTAAACTGGATTTTTATTTTCTCCTTCTGTGTCCAGACCAAATATATATATATATGTGTATATATATTTAATGTGATTCATTTCGATCCAGTCGGTCTCCAAATAAAACAAATCAAGCAACTTGTCGAGCAGAAAAGTCTAGAAATCCACAGCCCAAAATCTTTCTACCCACGGAAATTAGCCGTCTGTGATGACAAAGATCGACACCAAATCAAAAAAATGAACTCATGTGAAAGCGACTTCCTATCCACTTTCCTCTCCTTCCTCTTCCCCTCGCCGGAATCTCATTCCATGACCTGTGGGTCTCGGAAAACTAGCTTCGGTGTCTTCGTGGACTACGCCAAGTGGGAATTCAATGCTTTCCTTTGGATCTCCCTAATCGCCATCACTTTGTTTTTGCTTCGAAAAGTTGTCAGGTTGCTCATGTTATGGATTCAAGCAGCCAAGATTCCTGGCCCCCCGTCTCCTTCCTTCTTTGGCCATTCCCAGCTTTTTTCCCGAGAAAGCCTCACCGGTTTGTTTATAATTTTTGTTTGTTTTGTTGGGAAACTTCTTTTTTTTTTTTTCGTTTGTAGTTCTTGTCCTTTTAATCATTCAGTGCTAATTTCTTTAACTTCAATGGTGGTTAACGACGCTTTTGCTTGTATTGAATGAGATTTTACTTCTGATCGTACTGTCTCTAGGTGTGGGATTTTTGTTCGAGTTAGATTCTTCTTGTTTACCCTTTTATTGGTATTCAAACATTTGATGGTTCGAGTTAGATTCTTCTTGTTTACCCTTTTATTGGTATTCAAACATTTGATGGTTAGTTTTTATGGTACTCTGTTGTAAGTGTGGGATTGATTGATGGTTATATGTATATGTATCCTTGATTTGTTGCTGAATTCTTGTCATGTTTACAATCTGTACATTTTTCAGGCCTTTTGTCGGATTCGCACGACAGATATGGATCAGTTGTGAAGCTGTGGTTGGGGCCGACTCAGCTTTTGGTTTCAGTTAAGGATCCAACACTTTTCAAAGAGATGCTCTTGAAGGCTGAAGATAAGTTGCCTTTGACGGGAAGAGCTTTTAGGTTGGCATTTGGACCCTGCAGCCTATTCGCATCCTCCTTTGACAAGGTCCACAGAGTTGCATTCTTTACCCTTCTCTTTTTTCATACATATATATATAGATATATATTCCATATTCACTTATCTTAATGGTATTTCTTGCTTTAGAGGGTGTTGCTTATTTCTTGGTTACAAGCAGCGTTCTAATTTTTGCCAAATAGTTGAGTGTTTATATTGAGTTATTCAAAAAGCAATTTGAACTGAATAAAATAGGCACCATATTTTAATTTTTTAGATTATTATGTCCTTTGTCTAATAAACTTACTTAATGGATTAATACTTACATATTAATTTGAGCAAGATTTGCTGAGCATTAATGTTGAGAATCATGGCAGTTGTCATCTGTCTGACTCTATCTGGTGCTGTATCCTCCAACTGTCTATTACCTATCTTGGGCAGCCCTTTTGGGTAATCCCTGGAATATCTCTTTCTGGGATCTTGTCCTGGGTAAGCTCAACAACTTTCTTGAGAGTTGGTTGGAAAGTGCAATCTTTTCTTTAAAAGATAGGGTTACTCTCCTCTAGGCTTGTCTTCCGAGTACCCCTCTTTAACTTTTTTCTCTCTATTTAGAATTTCTGTTGGAATAACTGGGGGAATTGAGAAGATTATAAGGGATTTTCTTTGGTCTGGGGTGGGGATCTTACAGAATTATGTGTTTCTCACAAGTTTGAGAGAATTGACATAGTAGTCCCTCTTACTTTTTCCTTGCCGATTTACAACTACATTGTTTTTGGCAAATCTTGCAAACAATATATGGTTGTCTTCCTCAGATTCTGCTATGTCAAAAATTGGCTAGAGCTCATATTTCTTAGTTTTCTAGTCTGAGAGGAATATTTCTGCTGCCAGTTTCACTTTCAGGATTGTGATGGAATACTTCAATAAATAGGCTTATAAAAGTTCTTGTATTATATGATTTCATTGTAAAAATCAGTAAAGATTTAGCACAAGCAAACTACGTACGTAGTGACACTTTCGGAAGTATACAAAAAAAATGTTACTAGCATGTAAAAATAATAAGACTTATTCTTTTGCCCTTTTTTTATTTTGTTGTTTGCCCTGCATTAAGTAAAACTCAATTATCCATCTAATATAATATTGATTAAATAAATGCCCGAGCCTCTGTGCTTTATACGTGAAAACTATATATTTTTTTATTATTTCTTTATTGGAATTCAAAGTTTATTCTTATTCTTAATCTATTTTTGTATTCTTTCTAGATTCAAATAATAACCATTGAATCGCAAATAAAAAAATTATGTAAAATGTCATGAATATTTCTAAAAATCAGTGTAAAACAGGTAAATATTTTGGGCTCTTGGTTGAGGATAAGAATGTGCGGGTGGAGAGATTGAAATTGTTGTGGAGAAAAACCTTGAGGAGCTCCCAGCCCAGCTCTAGTATATTCATCTCAAAAAATTTAGTTACGGAATTTTCCAGTGGTGAGGAGAAATGAATAGAAGTGGAAGAAGATATAGAAGTAGATGATGAATTAAACAATAAATTTAACAATTAAAGATAAATGTTACTTTCACCGAACACTGATAGGCGACCATGAGGTAGCTTCTAGTTGAGCTTGTTACTCTTGAAAGGAGTTGAGTTTGAGCCCATCGCATGAAAGAAAAAGTAGAAAGTCTCGTGACAAAATTAAGATTGGATCCCTATGCAAAGTAGATTAAGGTATTCTTTTAAGAAAAACCTTGGTTTTAGCCAAAGCGAAGTGAAGAGAATCATCTTATCCCAAATCATATTGATTTATTGAATCTACACAGAATGTCAGCATGGCTACTTAGAGGAATAAAACATCTGGTGTTTGTTTCTCCTTATTCCTTCCAACTTAAATAATGTAATTCATTATATACCATATTTATATTTGTATATTTCTTAATATTGTTCAGTGGTACTTTTTTTTGCCTCTCACAGGTACAAAAGAGGAGAGAATCTTTGGCAGTGGAATTGAATGGAAGGTTGCTTGAGAAAGCAAATGTTTTTCCTGCAAAGGCCATGGATTGCATTATGGAAAGAGTTAATAAGAACATGTGTAAAGAAAGTGTTGATTGTAAAATGGTTTCTCAACACATGGCCTTTACCTTGTTGGGAACCATACTTTTTGGTGATGCTTTCCTGACTTGGTCTAAGGCAAATATTTATGAAGAGCTTTTGATGATGATAGCTAAGGATGCTTGCTTATGGGCGTCATATGGTGTTGCTCCTTTCTGGAAAAGAGGATTTTGGAGGTACCAGTGCTTGTGCACAAAGTTGAAATGTCTAACCCAGGACATCATTCATCAATGTAAGAAAAATTATAAACTATTTCGTCATGCAAATCAGAATAACCATGATGAAATTACAACTGCCATGGAGTCAGCATTCAGTACACCATCTTGTTCTAGCAACTCCTTACAGGAGTTCAGCAGCCATCTCTTTACAAAAGAAGAGCCATGTGGAAATATAATGGTTGTAATGTTTCATGGTTGTTTGACGACAGCAGGTTTGATTGGCAATATCTTGGCAAGACTTGCAACCCATCCAGAAATACAGGATAGTGTAGGTGTTTTTCCATTACTTTTTTGTCCTCTCCATTATTTTATCACGATTCTTTATTTCATATATCACCAGAACTGATTTCATGAAGGTCTCAAGACAGCTTGATTCCATGTTCTTTGAATAATATTTTAATATTATTCTTTTTTTCTCTCCTTGAGAATTCCTATAAACCTGCATTAGCTTTATTTGCTCTTTTTTGCCTGTACGATTGCAAATATTGATGCGAACCAAAAATATCTTTCCTGTGAGTATTATTTATTTTTCTTTAAATTGTTTTTCTGAAAAAGAAATTAATTGACACGGTACCAATGGGGTGCCACCCAAGGACAAAGAATTTATTATTTCTTTTCCATTCCTAAGTAATATTATTGACATCTAAACTTTTGTTGTTAATCTTGTATTTATTACTTGATTCTTCTTTCCCTTTCTTCTATAATCCTTTTGTTTTATCTATTGTTTGAATTTTGTATCAAAATATTGCAATTCATTATGGTTAGAACTTATTTCTGGTCTTAGGGTAAATCAAATTGCAGAAGGTTTATAGTCGTGTTGGTGAGAAGTTAATTATGTTTTCTCTTTCTGGTTAGAAAATAAACTCAATTTTAAATTTTTTGCAGCATTCTTGGTTTGAGGCTCCTATTTGCATCTTATTTGTGTCTTTAAATCATAACTTTTCAGATTTACTCAGAGATAGTTATGGCACAAAAATGCTCTGTAGACCAGGATAAACATGATGTTGATAAGATGCTCCTGTTATTGGCAACAATTTATGAGTCTGCTCGTCTTCTGTCATCAGGACCTTTGCTACAGAGATGTTCTTTGAAACATGGTGAGCCATCACTTGCTTCGTTAGCAACTAAATAACTGAATGTCGATTTATTTCTAGATATGTTTTCTCTTTTCCCCAAAATTATTTTGGAATTGGGAATAATTAGGGGCCATTGGGAACAATATCCGCGTGAAAATTGGTTTTCTAACAAAAGTTTGTAAATTGTAACGGACAGTCTTTGAGAGGATCTCTACAGATGTAGATCAAGCGTCTTTGTACGACCAAT